TGGTATGGACAAATTGCACCACTCATGCTGGTTAACTAAAACCGGGATAGTCGAGTAAGCGAGTTCACTCCCTGGGCCATGGCAAGATCTGTTCAGCGTGGGCTATTCCAACCTCCAAGTGCATAGTCACCGATCGATCCATGCGATGGTGGTTGACCTACAAAGAGCCAAGGTCTACGAGTACTACTATTGGATGCTGTCTACATGCAGTCAACAAAATCAAAGTACCTCAGTATGCCCCAGAATAGGGCATGTGCATCTATAGCATGACACAACAGGGGTTCTGGTGGCACCTGTCAAACAAGCAGTAGCGACTAGTGCCAGCTACCTATTGGAGGCTAGCCGCTACAGTCTGGCACTGGAGATAATTATTATGTTCACTGTTTAGACTGAGCACATCAATGATGCCCAATCAATCTGCCCAATGTGTGTTCTGTTCCACCTAACTATAACGTCCCATCGCATCAACCCTACTACACGCACATGTCGTCACTCTAGCACGACTTGTGTTATTATTGTTTATTTTGATTCGCACGATAAATAGAGCACAATAAACGTTAACTTGACCGAAGGTTAAAGGTGACTGCAGATAGAGGAACACATCGAGGTACAGGTACCGGCATCAATACATTATCAGAAACAAACAAAAATGAGAGGTACGCAGAAAAAACTCTCGTAAGCCCAAGGGGAAGTAGTAGATGATGGATGAATGCACTCTCCACGCTCATCTACACTGTTCGTGGAAATGCACACATACATACAATAATATACAGCATAGCAATAGCATGCACAGAACCGAACAATTTCATGTTCACACATGCAAGCACAGACCTGAACATTAGTACCAAAAGCCGATACGGACAATATCCCCATACACACAGACGCACACACACACAATGTCCCATGTATGCGCCCGTGGCGAGAAAAGCACGCAAAACTACAAATGCACTGGATGTGAACCCACAGATTTTCTCTTATAGCAACGATAGCGGATCTGATTCTGAATGAAACACACACACAATACAATCATTGAATGCCCATCCGCAGATGATGGCAGGTCCTGAAAGAACAGGCAGTATTCCAGTGATGGGGAACAGAACTTCGAGTGGCGAGTGAGGTATACACACACACGTGCGTGCGCGGGCACACACTAAAGTATTCAGAAATAGAATCGACATCGTATTCATTGGTTGGGGAATGGAAAGGAAAATAAAACATTGCTGTAGGTTATTGTTGTAAGGACACTGGGAGCACAACAGGAAGGTAAGCAACTTGCTTTGAAGCAAAGTAAGTTATTATTCCACGGATCTCAGAAGGAAGGAACGTTCCAGAATGCTGCACTGGCAACAGGCGGCCTGCATGTGCGCGGCCCCTGCAGTCGGTCCAGCTGCCGGCCTTGCAGTGCTGAAAAGAATGTGCAGTACAGCATGTAACATAGTATCGCAGCCTGGACAAATAGGCGCTGGGAAATCCTAGTTATGTGCTCACCTAAACCACGATGCACCAATCTTCTGAGCTACTTTGGCAACAACTTTGTCCACTTGAGACTCCCATGGGCTGAGCCAGTTGTTGAGGGCTGCACCAAGGTGGACGGCAATGACCGCTGATGGCAAGGCAATCCATGACACACAGTCACTAGGGCATCGTCAACATGGGCATTGGCGCTGAGGCTGGATCGATAAAATCAACCTTTAGGCTGCCGCGGGGTTGACAACGAGGCCGCTGTCTCGAAGCTAGTCAGTCAGCCTGGTCACCGCCATTGACGAACCAGTCGCCACCGCCAGCAGTGGCGGTAGGTTGTGACAAGTGTGGTGCAATATTGTCAGCAAATTCAGTACTCAGGATAAAATGAGTGACAAAGGGAACGTTGTGTTTGATAATATTGAAGTGAACAGGGATGATCACAAACCCAGCGCGTACTCCACCGTGAGTTACAAGAAAATTCCGGACTGGACGACGAGCAAACACCAACCAGGCAGATACTATCACGATAGCTGCCAAACCAGGTCAATGCCGACCTACTGCATAATGTCAATGTCAAACAGATCCTGCAGGAGAAGACTGGGGTGTTGGCGTCCAGTCACTGAGTGTACAGACACCAGTCACATTTCCTGCGTCTTTTGCAGCATACAGGATAGACTCATCACTGTAAAGTCCACTACTTCGTGATTTTTATTTGTAGAATACATGACAGGCGTATTCAGTGTGCCTCGCAGGACTGCGAGATGCTGCAGAAGACCAGGTTCGACCTTTCTGGACCGCCATTCACCGACGGTGGGCTACATGATGCTGGAGGAACTAGATTCCAGTGAAAACCCAAGATTCCTTTGCTCCTGGACGCTTCGACGTGTTGTGATATCTGCCAGGTGCGCAGTAACTAGTATTTTCATCGCTATAGCGAGGACGACGCCGATCGGCAAACTCTCGCTCACAGCCATCACCAGCCTCTCAAAACCATCACTTGGCATCCCCCAGAGGTATAGGAGAAAGCCAAAACAGCTCTCAACAAACAAAAGCTAAGGACGATGGAAAGAGAGCATGTCAAAAAGAAGACGAACAGTAGGAAGTTCAAATGGGTTTGAACACTCGTACCACCAACTATACCACTTTCAATAAATCGTGACGCCATTTTGTTTTAACATGAATATCGCGGGTTACATTGTATTCGACAGACTCAGCTCAAAATCCAATGTTCTAAGGGGAAGTGCATCGATTTTTCGAGTAGGGTCGAGAAGAAAGACAATTTGATATCGGTTCAAATGGCATACATGTATCTCTCGCTTCCATACGATAAGCCAAACTTGCCAAATCGCCAATTGTATACTCACGTTGCCATTGCGACCAGCGCAGTGATGACGTACACGTATGAAAGGCTTACCTCCACCACAGAGAAAGTCTATCACCCAGAAATTGGTCATTTTCAATTGTCTTAATTCACGAAGTGAAAGAAGTGCTGTGTTCAATGCTGTTAGTGCAGTGAACTGTTTATCGGCCTTCTCCTGCATTTCCATAGGCTGACTGTGCCTGGGAAATGGTTCCTTTAGGAGAAGATGCTTGGTATTCGCCATCTCTCCTGAGACATTTTCAGCAAACTTTCAAACCTACGACATTATTTCATTCGTCAATCTCCACCACCCGTTGTCTCACCTGGCTTCAGAAGATGTTACGAGACAGAGATAGGAGAGTGGCCAGGAAGCATCACATCTATCGTCAGGAAGTGGAAAGAGCAAACGGCGTGGTCCCTGGTTGGGGTAAAAGCTGAACGTTTGATTTGTCCCAACCAAGATTTCAGCATTTTGTTCGTCGCTATTTTCGCTTGTCTGCTGATGTCTCCACACTCCAGTTTTCTCCTGTTGGTGTCACGTCCCAGTACACAACCGAGAGGACTACTAACAAACAGTTCACTGCACTAACAGCATTGAACACAGCCCTTCTTCACTTCGTGAATACAATAAACAAATTGAAAATGACCAAATTCTGCAATGATCGACCTTCTCTGTGGTGGAGCTAAGCCTTTCATACGTCATCACTGCGGTTGGTGTCACGTCCCAGTACACAACCGAGAGGACTACTAACAAACAGTTCACTGCACTAACAGCATTGAACACAGCCCTTCTTTCACTTCGTGAATACAATAAACAAATTGAAAATGACCAAATTCTGCAATGATCGACCTTCTCTGTGGTGGAGCTAAGCCTTTCATACGTCATCACTGCGCTGATCGCCATAGAAACCTGAGTATACAATTGGCAAGTTTGGCTTATCGTATGGAAGCGAGAGATATTCCATTCGAGCCGATATCAAAACTGTCTTTCTTCTGGACCCTACTCGCATAATGGCAGAGCTATTATTTATAGAAAAGAAAAAGGACCAAGGGAGTACAAGTTACGCTAAAATAATTTCACGGTTCGTGTCAGACTCGGTTAGAGGCCACGTTTTCCGCACCCATAGGATATACATGTACATGTACATGTACATGACTTTTGTATAATGTCCACGAACACTTTCTTGAGTTCTGCTCCACATATCTCTATCCGCATACCAAACATGCATGAAGTATGCCAGCAAAAGTACCAAAATCTGCCAACGCTTCTGCCGGCATTGTCCGCCAAGGCCAGGGCTACCCGGAGCCGGAACCTGGGACCAATACGGTTCCTGGCCTGGCGGGCCGCGAGCTATTTACGGGTACCGTCTTTGGCTTTGACAGGCGGGACACTGGCGCAATTATCACTGTTCACGTGTTTACATTCACCAAAGTCAAAGAGTAACACAGGTCGTACACGGCCCAGCTGTCGATTGTGCGTGAGATCGAGAGCATTGTTGATCAACGCGTTCTGCAGGATTGTCCTACTCGACTTGCTCTCGAATCCGATTGATCTTTTGTTCTTGTGAGACACTGGGAGTGGGGAGAGGCTAATTTTAGTACCGTGACATCCCTGTCAACAGTAAGTGGACAAGATGTTCCTATGTCGACTTGCAGACCGTGTACTCACTGCTTGTTGAATGTTGTGGTGAATACTCAGTAGTAAGTGACCGGAACGTGTAACGGACGGATCGCGTGATGTTTTGTTTCGTTTACTCCTGAAGCGCGAAACACTGAAAAAATACTTGTGACCCGTCATAGAGAGGAATGAGTAAGGTAGTTTTCGAAACAAATCATGAGCCAGAGCCTCTAGCGCTAGACGATGTGTCGCTTTTGGCACACTTGAGTGTCGAGTTTAGCAAAGTACTCTTGATACCGACACCAGAAGCTGTGTATGACCGGCAACGACCCACCACTGCACTAGGGTCGGCACGTCGTTCCATCCACAACTGCCACAAGTGAAGACAAACTGTCACAAAAGGATTTACACTTACAGCGCATGGTGAGATGGTGTGAGCCTACTGTTGGTGACGTGCCGGACATCGACACTCTCCGGCTCCGTAGATGTACGTCTTCATCTCAGTCTGTGTGCATTCTCTCTGTTGCTGTTCTGGCGACGTCAGTGTGAGTGGAGCAG